AAGTTGAACATATTGGTGTTGATTTGAGTTTTGTGACTGAGAGCTGGTGCCTGCAGCTAAGAGATTGGGCTGCAAACCAGCAAGGCCCTGGTTTAAATCTTCCCTTTATAGTCAACTTACTAGGGCAGAGGTGGAAAAATTGAGCCCAAGGTCCAAACACCCCTCGCCCCAGTCTTCTATACAGTGGTACCTCTGGTTGCAAACGGGATCTATTCCAGAGGCCCATTCGCAACATGAAAAGAGTGCAACCTGAAGCGCCATATCTGCGCGAAACCCGGAAGTAACCCTTTCTGGTACTTCCGGGTCACCACGGGACGTAACTTGAAAGAACGTAACATGAAGCAAACGTACCATGAGGTATGACTGTATGTGACTCTCTGGCCTCTGGCCTCTCCTCATGCCACCCCCTCATGGGCTCTGCTTTGCACCCTCCTTAAGTGACATGATAGAAGTTTATAAAAATTATGTGTGGCATGGAGAAAGGGGATAGAAAAAAGGAATTCTTCCTCTCAGTAATGCCACCAATCGTGGCTATCGAATGAAGCTGAATATTGAAAGATGAGAGACAGACAGAAGAACGTACTTCTTCACGCAATGCATAGTTAATCTATGGAACTCTCTCTCACAGGAGACAATAATGGCTACCAAGCTAAAAGGAAAGGTAAAGGGACCCCTGAACATTAGGTCCAGTCGTGGCCGGCTCTGGGGTTGCGGCGCTCATCTCACTTCATTGGCCAAGGGAGCCTGCGTACAGCTTCCGGGTCATGTGGCCAGCAGGACTAAGCCGCTTCTGGCAAAGCAGAGCAGCGCACGGAAACGCCGTTTACCTTCCCGCCGAAGCGGTACCTATTTATCTACTTCCACTTTGACGTGCTTTCGAACTGCTAGGTTGGCAGGAGCAGGGACTGAGCAACGGGAGCTCACCCTGTTGCGGGGATTCGAACCGCCGACCTTCTGATTGGCAAGTCCTAAGCTCTGTGGTTTAACCCACAGTGCCACCTGTGTTCCGGCCACCAAGCTATATGGCTTTAAAAGAGGGTTGGACAAGATCACAAAGGAGGGAGCTAGCAATGGCTACAAAGGCATGATGTCTATGCTCTGCCTCCACAGCTAGAGGCAGTAAAGCTTCTGAAGACCAATTGCTGGAAGCCACAGAGTGCTCTCGCGTTCAGGTCCTACTTGCGGGTTTCCCACAGGAATCTGATTGGCCACCGTGTGAACAGGATGCTGGGCCAGATGGGCCATTGACTTGTTCCAGCAGGCTCTTGCTAGGCTATTATGACTGTCTTTTGCCTGGCTGGAATGTCCCATTGAACTCTAATAATACTTAGGCATGCCCAGATTGTAATCACAGAGGAGTGTGTGTAGCTAGCGTCAAGATAGCTCAGTTGCTAGAGCATGAGATTCTTGATCTCAGGGTTGTGGGTTCGAGCCCCACGTTGGGGGAAAGATCCCTGTATTGCAAGGGGTTGAACTAGTTGACCCTCATGGTCCTTTCCAGCTCTACAATTCTATGATTCACTCATGTTAAGAGAGGAGGGTGCACTGTTCAAAGGTAAGATGTACATTTGTTGTTTTGCCCACTTTTGCATTTGGCCCCCTCCAACACGTGGGTGGCTCTGTGGGTTAAACCACAGAGCCTAGGACTTGCCGATCAGAAGGTCGGCGGTTCGAATCCCTGCGACGGGGTGAGCTCCCGTTGCCTGGTCCCTGCTCCTGCCAACCTAGCAGTTTGAAAGCATGCCAGTGCAAGTAGATAAATAGGTACCGCTCTGGCGGGAAGGTAAACAGCATTTCTGTGCGCTGCTCTGGTTCGCCAGAAGCGGCTTAGTCATACTGGCCACATGACCCAGAAGCTGTACGCCGGCTCCCTCGGCCAATAAAGCGAGATGAGCACCGCAACCCCAGAGTTGGCCACGACTGGACCTAATGGTCAGGGGTCTCTTTACCTTTACCTTTAACACCTTGAAAGTTGCCCAGAAGAGAAGTTGGCCTTTGCGCTTCAAAAGATCCCCCACCCCTTCACTAGGGTGTCTTAAGACTTAGGCAAACCACATCTCCTCGTGCAATTACAGCCCCCAACACACACTACTACTTCCGCTAGCGAGCATCGCTTGCTTACTGGGCAGTTATGCAGAAGAGGGACTCAGATTATGATTTGACCATTAACATGCTTTACAGATTGTGAGTATTGTTAGCTGATAGAAGGGAGAAGCTTTGCATGCACATTTACAGGCAATCTTGTAAAAGCGGCTCGGCAGGTGGAGGTAGCAGAAGCAGAGATGTTTTTGTAGCCTAGTTGTTTTGGGAGCCTGTTCTTGGTGTACTCTTTCCGTACACTTTGTCTGAGTGCCAGTGCAGTGCTGTGGTTAAAATGGCGGCCTAAAACCAAGGGGGCCTGGTTTCAATTCCCAACACACTGTGACCTCTGACCTCTTGCTTCTTTTTGTCCCTGCCTGCCGCACAAGGTTGCTGGGAGGATAACAATGGGATAAGCCCTGTGTGTGCTGGCATGAGAGCTTTCCTTAGTCCAAACCTCTACCCACTGCTTGTAATTACTAACTGGCATCCTAGAGTTGTTGTGAAGATATCTGGAAAGAATTCCACAAATGTCACTTTGCTACGATGGGTGCTAGATATTGGGGGTGTTTTGTTTTTATTTCCACAGTACATCTTGTAGTGTGCAAAGTGCACATTTAGTGCTCCTGCCTATGCTTTGCAGTTTGGAGTAGTTCTGGTGCATAAATGCATGAGTGCTCATGTAGATTTTTCTTCCTTTCTCACTCATGGATTCCAGGATTTGTAGCCATGGTTGAAGCACCCTTGAAATGTCTTGGGAGAGGGGTGGTGTTATGTACTGAGCTGAATCCTAGAACAATAGGATCCAGAATGCAGCAATCTGATTGGTCCGCAGGAGCCACCCAATCCAGCTCCAGGTGGAAGTGAATCAGCAACCTGATTGGCTTGCAGGAGCAGCCAATCAGGCTTCTGGAGGAGGTGAATCCACAGCCTGATTGGTCTACAGGAGCAGCCTGGAATTAGCCAATCATGCAGGGCCCATTGTGTAAATAATGTATATATAGCTAGACGTTTTGGGGAAAGTTTCATTCATTGCTACTATGAGCTGAACAAAGAGCATGAAATTCACACTCGACTCCGAGTATATTTCAGGTGGGATGCAAATCATATATGAAATGAAGAGTGAAGATCACAAAGGATCAGTGACCTACTTTCTCATACAGTAGATTATGCAGGAGTATGGATGACTTCCCTTAGTGGAAAGTATATACACGGCTTCTAAATCAAGGTTGGAGAAACTACAGCTCTCCAGATGTGGCTGGACTCCAACTCCATCATCCCTGACCATTGGCCATGCTGGCTGAAGCTAGTGGGAACAACATCTAGAAGGTCACATGTTCCCCATTCCTGCTCTAAATAGTGGTTGTCTCCAGCCCAGGAGGAAATGTGATCTTCAAGGTTAAATTTATGTCTCTTGCTTGTCCATAGCATGGTCTGCAAGTCAATCTCTTATGGTCAATATGGTGCTTCTCGAAATCGCTTAATGCTTCAAAGTTTGGAAAGTGGATTCACGAAGATTATACCACCAGTATGGCTGATAACGAAAAACCTCTAAGGTGCCTATTTGCAAAGACATTAGGGAGGGAATTATCAATCACTTACAGAGAGAGAGAGAGCGCACACCCCAAAATGTACATAATCTAAACTAAGTTTATAACCTCAGATGTATTAACATTCCATCAACAAAGACTTTACAACCTTGATGATATTGACACATCACCAGGTGAACGGAGAATGGTTTTAACAGGCCTAAAGGCCATCACTTAGTTTGGAGAGAGTTCTCAGTTCCCCACTTGAAGGTGGGTTTACAACCCTGAAATTACTGGCAGACTCAAAAGCCATGTGTGTAATAGCACACACAGTCTTAGTCAGAGAGGAAAGGAGAGATACCAGTCTTGCTATGGCCTGTTATTGAACTGAGGTCCAAAGGTCCTCTTCAGTGTGAACTGAGGATAATCCAAAAATCCTCCTCCATAGCATGAACTCGGGTTCAAACGGCACAGTACGTTAAGCATGTGGCTTCTGCCAAACCACATGGCAAATTCCTTCTTGGTGCCCATAAGATTTAGGGACCTTAGGGTAATCATTGGCCATCTGAAGGCAGCCCTGTTTAGGGAAGCTTTTAATGTTTGATGGATTACTGTATTTTAATATTTTGTTGGAAGCCGTCCAGAGTGGCTGGGGGAAACCCAGCCAGATGGGTGGGGTATAAATTTATTATTATTATTATTATTATTATTATTATTATTATTATTATTCCAGATGTTGCTGTTGGATTCCAACTTCCATCAGCCCCAGCCAGCATAGCCAATGACCAAGGATGATGGATGTTGGAGTCCAGCAGAATATGGAAGACCCCTAGTCTAGGGCAGTATCTGCATCTTGATAGTAACCAAAACACAATTATTTGAAATTCACACATCTCCCAATCAGTTCTCCAACCAATCAATGTGTGCAAAAATGTGTATATTTGGATAAAAAGTGTATGTGCAAAGGAATACATTAGTGAGCATAATATAGAAAAAAGAGCATTGTGCTAAAGGAAACGACTTGCAGAGATGTGTATATTAGTCAAAATCGCATATAAAAATGTGTACATTGGGATAAATTTACGCTAAAATACTGATGAATCTTCATGAGTATTATTATTATTTTTTAAATGCAGATGGCTGCAGAAATTTAGAGAAACTGAAATTGACTGATTCATCCATCTTCAGTTACCTAAAGATCAGAGATTTTAGCACAGCTCTGGAAATGGCCACGGGAGTGTTCAAAGGTGACTACGTTATTTGAGAAGGGGACTAAGTAATAACGAGAGAGCTTTGGCCTTACAGCAGCCCTTGGAATGTTGATGTCAGATATTCACATTTTCCTACCTCAACAGCAGTTTAAAAAGAAAAAAACAATGTGATGCACCAGGAATCCTTTGTTATTATATACTAACCAGACTGTGCATGGCACATTTTATTTCTATAAAACTATTAAAACTATTACAAAATATTCAAAAATACATTTTAGGAAATTGACAGCGGTTATTTATCAGTTTATTAATGCAAAACATCCTTTCCCCCCCCTCCTCTGTACAAACTATTCTCCATTGTCACATAATAGCCAACATGTGCGCTTTTTAAAAAATATTTTCTCATAAATTTCTTCTTCTTGATTTTGAAGGTAAAAATAAGAGAGTTTCTCCCCCACCTCCCCAGAGTTTTGCAAATGAATCAAGGTGTGTGTAACAGTCTTGCGTTCCAAGAGTGTAGTTGAAAAGGGGTGGCTGTTATCTTTTATACAAAGCAAAATATTTCCAAAGACAATTAGAAACAATACAGAAGCTGACATTACATTTGATACTATTTAAATTAAAATAATATATTCTTATATTTTACACTATTTCAAAAAAAATGAAATGTGACTGTTAAGTATTGATCTCTCTCTCTCTAAAAAAAAATTGAATTTACAATTCTGTGTATAAAAATATAATTTACGGACCCCCTCCCCCCCTGTCTATGGAGTAGTATGTCTTTCGTTTGTTCCAGGACTCGCTGTTGTAGAAGAGCAAAGCAACGTACAGATGGGAGGGACAGAAGTTTTACTTTTGGAAAGTCTGGACGTGTGTCACACATAGAAAAATAGAACTCTGTGCACTTTTGCTTGGCCTTGCAAAATAATTTTCTTCTCCCCGTTGAGTGTACAGTTCACATGATAATAAATTATCAAAGAAACTATTTAAGGCTCTTGAAGGTCGGGTTCATATCCTTTAAAACATCTATTTCAAAATACCAAACAAATAAATATCCAGGAGATGAGGACAACGAAACAATCAAACAGACAACAAAATAGAAATCAAATAAAAAATATATATATTTCTCAACTAAACTGGGGGGGGGGGTATTCCTGGGCTCTTCCTGCTCCTTAAAGTCTACTTTGGACTGTCCTACTATTATTATTATTGTTTTAAAGTCTTTCATTCTCTTTCTTTCCTTCTTCATCTTAGTTTTCTCCCCTCCCCGCCCTTTGTACTATTTTCATCATCGTCATTGTTCACTTGCAGGCCACTTTCCCATGGTAAACCATGCTGAGAGTGGCTCACAACACCAAGAAGTTGACATAAGGTGATTCTCTGTTCTTACGACAGGTCAAGGTGGGGTGTGGAGAGCCGTCCCCCTCAGCTGGCCATGCCCAGTGGGTGTATCATCTCAGAATCCAATACCCAGCGGCCAATGTGGTAGAGGAGGCGGGAATACCAGTGGACTCCTGCTGGGGCGTCGTCCAGGGCAGCGGCTGGGAAAAGGACCGGGGAGGAGAGGCCGCTGGGGTACAGCATCGCCAGGAGAGCGTGAGTGACTCGGAAAGGGGCAAACGCCCAGTGGGCCCAGCTATGCTCCTCAATGACCGCATAGCACGACGCCAGCACCTCGTTGATGAGGATAGTGCCCTGAGCAGTGAGCGGGGCGTAGGCGCCCAAGGCCTCTTCCTGCAGGGACACGCTGCGCACCTCGGCCTGCAACAGTGTCTGGCTCCCTTTGCCCAGCACGTAGACGCGTTGCCCCGGCTGGACGCGGCTGGCGAAAACAGGCTGGGGCTTGGAGTGGTTCTGCGGCGGGGCCACGAAAAGCAGGTGAGCCGCCGTGAGCAAGAGGCGCGCCCGGGGCCGTCGGGTCTCGATCACGTAGAAAAGCTTGCGGACGGGAGGCTCCTCCTGGTCCAGGAAGGCGAGGAACTCGCTGTAGAGCAGCTGCCCTTGCACATCGGCCGCCAAGACCCGGTCTCCAGGGTGGAGGTCCTTCACCAGCTTGGTGCCCCCTTGCTCCAGGTTCACCCAGGCCGATCCAGGGAAGCAACCGCCCGATTTGGCCGCCACTGAGTTCTCTGGAGGTGGAAGAAGGGAAGGAGTGTTAGAAGAAAGCAAGGGCACCAATGAGAAACAGAACAAATTGGGACAATTGTCAGGGACCTATCAAAATCCGGATCCTGAATTTTACCAGGAGCAGGAGGAGAGTATAGATTTGGATCAGTGGTTTGCAGAGGGACATAGTTCAGAAGGCAGAAGCTGGGAAATACTGGATGGGGAACAGCTAGGAGAAGAAATACTGGGGGAGAGAGGGTTAACAGATTCACAGTCTCTTGGCAGCGTTCACCAAAGTGAACGCTGCCTTCTCCAAAGTCATGGAGAGCTCAGAAAGTGGCAGAACAGAAAGCACAGCGGGTACAAGCTCAGATTACACGATGTAGGAGTGATGTAGATTAATAGGGACAGAAGCGGGTGGGATCCTTAATTGGGAGCACCACCATTCTGAGTGCCACGGGGGAGGAAGCCGGTTCCCGGAAGCCTGACAACAGCAAGCAATTCCTAGCAACAACACAAGTGAAACTCAGAGTTATCAGGGATACTAAACTGTCGCCACCCTGTATCTCTCTAGCTCCTCCTTCTGCACAATTTCTATGACATCACATGGTGCAACGCAGTTGAATTTACAAGGAACAGGGATCTGAGAGACACAGGCTTTTGTAACTCTCTAGCCAATTGTTCTGATATAATGTGCACCAAAGTCAATAGGTCCCTCTCAAATTTGGCTCAATTTAAAATAAACATTGGAAGCATCGGAACTAATTCTACTGTGGCTTCTCTAATAGTAAGGTGGTGATGAGAATAATAGTAGTAATGTTGTGGTTGTTGTTGTTGTTGTTAAACTGCCCTTCAACGCAAAGTTTCCCAAGACAGGGTACAAATATTCCAGTAAAGCACAACAACAGCATTAAAACCAAAAAATATTACTCAACAAGATGGTAACAAAGCACAGCTGAAGATATTTCCTACAAGATAGCCTGGCTGCAAGTTTTTCTGTCCCTCAAAGCCAGAAACAAGAGTTTCTGATGTTCAGGCTGTGAGAGCCAATTCTTACAAATCAAAAATGGAACTTTCCACGCACAAGTGGGCAATATCAGCAGGCTTGTGGGGTGAGGGGTACCCAATATTTGCAGAAGTACATAAATTCGGTAGGGAAGGAACCCTAAAAAGTGGGGGAATCTAACCCCCCCCCCCCACAATTCTATGTTTCTGATAAATCAATAAAATAGGTATTTTGAAAAATGAGGGCCGAGCGTCCTCAGAGGCCACAGAATGTTGACTGATGGCCGGAGGATCCTGAGGTCAAGCCATACTCTCCCTCTAGTCAGCCCTGCCTCTTTGAGTGTTTGTGGTTGCCTGGAATGTGTCTTTGAACTCAGTAGTGTTTCCTGGAGGTGAGGATGGAGGAAAGAGAGGAGAGAGTGAGTTTGTGTAGAAACCAGCCTACGGTGCACTGGAAAGAGATACATTGGCTGCTCAGCTCACTTTTGCCTCTGGTACCACACACCACTTGGTGGGGAAGGTGCCCCACCTGTGCTCTAGACTACAGCACTGGGGAAGTTCAAAGGGTGGTTAGATACAGCCATCTGTATTAGTAAGCTACATTAGTAAAGCCAGCTACATTAGTAAAGAAAAAGCATTTTATATGTGTTATAACACTGTGACACCAGATGGCGCTGTGGGGTTCCATCTTTCGCCAAGTGATATATCCCACTTTGAGGTTTACAACGCATTTTCCTGAAACGCTTTCTGGACGTGTCTAGATCCAGCCCAGCATTGCCTGAAGTGCTGCCACCACAACCAGAGCGCACCACGACACACTGACGCAGCAGGAGGCCCCACTGTTGTCGCTTTGCTCAGGGCTCCCGTCAAACCTGGAGCTGGCCCTGGGAAGGACTGACGTTTGTGATGAAAAGGGCTTTCTGGCAGCTCACTAAGAGAATTGGGCTGACTCCTCCTTTACTACTCCTTCCTGAAAATGGTCCCTGACTAAGAGTATTGCCATTCAATCCCCTCCAGCAGAGCACAGTCATCCTTTTGTGGCTGGGGCAGAGGCTCTGTGTGACTCCAACAAATGCACTATGCTGCTTCTATTGCATCCCCTGTGTGGGGGAGCGAGATAACAGGTGCAGGAGCCTTTGGGGGACCTCTGCTCTGCAGCAGGAGAGTGATGGGACCTGTTGATGGCATTTTACCATTGCACTGTGGAGAGTGTATTAACTTATGGTCTGTGTGTGTGGTTTGGGAGCTGCACGGCCAGGGAAAAAACAATGCTGTCCAGGGTTGTAAAGACTGCAGAGAGAATAATTGGGTGCACTCTTCCCACCTTAGATCAAATCTATGCTGCCAGGCACCATAAGAAAGCGGCAGAGATAGCGCAGGATAGTACGCACCCGGAAATGATCTCTTTCAGCTTCTGCCTTCTGGAAGAAGGTATAAGAAGAGAAGCAGAGAAGAGTTTGGATTTGATATCCTGCTTTATCACTACCCTAGGGAGTCTCAAAGCGGCTAACATTCTCCTTTCCCTTCCTCCCCCACAACAAACACTCTGTGAGGTGAGTGGGGCTGAGAGACTTCAGAGAAGCGTGACTGGCCCAAGGTCACCCAGCAGCTGCATGTGGAGGAACAGGGAATCAAACCCGGTTCACCAGATTACGAGTCCACCACTCTTAACCACTACATCACACTGGCTCTCCAGTATAGGGTTATAAAGGCCAGGACTAGCCGCCTGAGAAACAGTTTCTACACAAATGCAATTCTGGTTCTAAACGCAGCACAAGGGGTCTCTATAGTATAGTGTATTTTAAAATGGGGTTTCAGGGTTTTTAGGGGTTTTTGAATGTTTTATGTAGTTTTTCAATTTCATTCTTCTGCCTGGGACAATGACAACAAAGATATCGTATATATGGGCCAATGGGCCTTCAGGTGGCCCTGCAAGCAGATGCCTTCACTTTGGCCTGCAGCTTCTTCACCTTGCTGCTAATCTTGCACCAAAGTGGAGCTGCTTCTGCAAAGCTCCCTCTCCTTCTGGCTTGGGTCCATGTCTGCTCCTAGATCACTACTTGTAATTATGATTCTAATACATTCCTAAGTGCAAGGGAAAATCCAGGGTTTAATTTGAGTAGGGATCAGCCCAGGAACTTGCCTTGAATGCCAGAGGAATAATTAAGAAGGGAGTGCTTGGAACGTGCGTAAGGAAAGCCTCGTCTCCTCACCACTGGACATAGGTATTAAATATCTCAGGTTGATTACTTCCTGCCTGTCCTTTTTGTATTTAAATGCTCGGTGCCTAGGTGAGACTGGGAAAATCCCAGCTGCGGCCACATTACTGATTCTCAGAGCTTGCTGCCGTCATTTCCCACAAAACTCTTATTGCCACAACCGCAGCCCTTCCTGCTTTTATCCTCACTGGTACACTGGAACAGGCTAAATCAGGCATCCCCAAATTCGGCCCTCCAGATGTTTTGGGACTACAGTTCCCATCATCCCTGACCACTGGTCCTGTTAGCTAGGGATGGTGGGAGTTGTAGTCCCGAAACAGCTGGAGGGCCGAGTTTGGGGATGCCTGGGCTAAATGCTAAATCACCAGCTAAATTAAAATGGGTCAGAACAGCCATGGTCCACCTCTGCATATCTGGGGTGAGGAGACCAGCTTCCAGATTCAAGAGTGTAGTTCTGAGCCTTGCAACTACGCCTCCTCCCTTTTTTTTAAAGATTAAATGCTGGGAAAATCCCTACCGTTGGCAACAATGCCGGGCTGAGTGGAGGTGCATTATAATGCCAGACGAGGAGTTTCTAGCAAAACATGCCTGCCTCCTTCCCAGGACAGGCTAGGAAGCTTTGAAATCTAATCTCCCTCCCGCCTTGTTCCTTTCCCACCCGTGCATGTTTATACACCTGCTCCCTTACCTATGAAGTTAGCACGCATCACAGTGGAATGAAAGAAGGAGCAGAGAAAGTGTTAAGGGGCTCTCCCTTCTTCCTCCTTTCTCAGCTGCCCAGATGCTACTCACACAAAGTGATTACAATGAAAAGCAGCGGGGGAGGCGAACCCCACCCAAGGCAGCGTTGCCCTTTTCCCTTTTGTCTTTAAAGTTCGCACATTGGAGACACCTGCCCCGGGGTTGCCGGTGTAAGGTGTGCGATGGGGACACAGATTGGCTTTCACTCGGGACGGGAGGATCTGTCAGTTTGGCTTCATTGATGTCTCTTGTTTTTCCACTCTTAAGCTCAGCTCGTTTCTGCAGCAGTTTGCAACTCGTGAAAATCAGCCAACATTTTAGTGTTCGTATCTTTGGATGCAGTTGCCCCCATTAATAACATTTACCCACCCCATTTTGAAAATGTTTATATTTTCCCTATTTTAGCAACTCTTTCATATATGCCCTTTGCCCCTTCATACATGCATTTTTGGGTTGAAGAACTGCATTGCAAAATTCAGGGAAGTAAACGTTTCTAAAGAAGGCTGCATTTTGGTGCTGTGGGCGACTTAAAATGTAAAGGGAACTGAATTTCTCTCCTATCCTGGGCTTGAACTCAAGGATGTGAAACCAGCTGTCCTTCTAAGCAGAGCCAGATTTACGTATAAGCTAAATGGCGCTGTGGTCTAAACCACAGAGCCTAGGGCTTGCCGATCAGAAGGTCGGCGGTTCGAATCCCCGTGACGGGGTGAGCTCCCATTGCTCGGTCCCTGCTCCTGCCAGCCTAGCAGTTCAAAAGCACGTCAAAGTGCAAGTAGGTAAATAGGTACCACTCCGGCGGGAAGGTAAACGGCGTTTCTGTGTACCTGCTCTGGTTTGCCAGAAGCAGCTTAGTCATGCTGGCCACATGACCCGGAAGCTGTACGCCAGCTCCCTCGGCCAATAAAGCGAGATGAGCGCCGCAACCCCAGAGTCGGTCACAACTGGACCTAATGGTCAGGGGTCCCTTTAAGGCCCTACTCTCTTGGGGGCCCCCAAAAAATTAAAGGAAAAACAACCTGGATGTACATTTCCAAAATATAAGATAAAAAACAAATAGAATAAAGCCTACATACAGCAACAGTGTTTTGTGTTGTGTAGGCTCCTGTGATGTAAGTAATGGGCCTTGCCTGCTCCCTAAAATATCACTAGTTTGCTCATTTCTATATATAGGGTGCCTACATTCTGCATGGACTTTGCATTCTACATGGACTTTTCAACGATTACATTGATAAAGTACATATTTTGTTATGTGCAAATGGCTTTAGATACCTATTAGGTCCATAAATTACCATATAGCATATATTCAACACAAAAAACAGCGACAATTTGTTGTTGACAAAGGACAACTGGACATATAAAGGGCCCCATTACCTTCAGTAGTTTAGGGCCTCATCAAACCTAAATCCAGCCCTGCTTCTAAGGTTGGGTTGCCACATTTCTATGCAATGGTGCTGTCAGGGAACAATCGTGAGGCCGAAGTCCTGAGCCCTACTCAGTAGGAGAGCAGGGTTCACCACATTTTCGAGTTCAGCAAGTGAAGGAAAACGCATCAAAAGGGTGGGGTTGGGGTTGTACATGAGCATTAAGTCCAGAGTCTAAAATCAGCTCACTTAAGCTAGAGTTTATAGACAGGGTTTCACGTCCAGGGATCCATTTATTTCCCCCCTCCCTCAGTTTAATATTTTATTATCACTGAATTAAGAGTTGCATGTGAATGGATATGATGAATCAAATCAAAAACAGGCCCCCGGTGACCGGAATTTGTTGACTGAACTTATATTTTAAAATGTCTTAACAACAACAACAATTCAATGCTTAACACTGTCTTGCTCTGTGCATTTTTAAAGATTATAATCAGAAATATGTACATTGAATAGGCCAGTTTTTATGCTCTTAAGGTTTAACCTAGTTATATAATGAACATATTCCCTCACAGTGAAACCCTATACATCTCAACTCAGGAGGTTCAGAGCAATCCAGACTCCCTTGCTAGAAGGCAAGAGGAGCACAGGAAGAAACTCCCCACCTAAAAAAACCACACGGGTCATTCTGAGAGGAGGAGGGACTGAATTAGCCCTGGATCTCAAGCTGATTTAACTGCAATCTAGTCAAAAGTAAACACCAGGTGAACATGTGCCCTGCAACTCTTTTTTAGAGTTCTCAGTTTCAAGTCCATCAAGAACTGTAAAAAGGGAGAGAAGATGGAAAAGGCCCAGTAATTGTTATCAGACACACAGGGTATCTGATTGTGGTGGTATCATGTGTTGTAGCTATATTTCAGCTTTAGCAGTGCTTTCTAAATGTGCATCTATACATATGAATGGGCAAATCTATCCTTTTTCTGAGCCATGCATTCCATCTTTTGCTAATGGAAAAGTGCCCCCCTTAGTTAGCCTTCCACACTATCCCCCCACCCCTATAAGCACCCTGCCATGCTCACAATCATAGGGAGCTATTCAACTAAACCAGGCATAGGCAAACTTGGCCCCCAGGTGTTTTGGGACTACAACTCCCATGATCCCTAGCTAACAGGACTAGTGGTCAGGGATGATGGAAATTGTAGTCCCAAACATCTGGAGGGCTGAGTTTGCCTATGACTGAACTAAACTCACTGAAATGAATGAACATGACTAAGTTAGGTCTATGAATTTCAACAGGTCCACTCTGAGCAAAACAGAGCTGAATGCCACTCACAGAAATCAAAAGGGGATTTTTTTTTAATTTCCATGAACACTTCAAGCGTGTAGATAGTGATCTTGAAAAATCCACCCTGAGCCAAGGAAACATTTGTGTGGGTGCTGCTTTGGTCTGCCAAGTGGGTAATGTTTGGAACAATATCAAGGGCACCAGTTGCTGCTGATTATTACAGTGGTACGTCTGGTTAGGTACTTAATTCGTTCTGGAGGTCTGTTCTTAACCTGAAACTGTTATTAACCTGAAGCACCACTTTAGCTAATGGGGCCTCCCGCTGCTGCCATGCCGCTGCTGCCTGATTTCTGTTCTCATCCTGAAGCAAAGTTCTTAACCTGAGGTAATATTTCTGGGTTAGCAGAGTTTGTAACCTGAAGCATATGTAACCTGAAACGTATGTAACCTGAGGTACCACTGTATTGTTGTTTTTTAAACCAGAAATATTCCAATTCTAAAACGAAGCCCTCATTGTTAAACAAAAACTGTTATGTCACAAATTTAAAAAACGTCATTAGAATTCTCTTCCACCTTTCTTCAAAGGTGGCACACATGGTTTTCCCACTCCCCATTTTTCCCTCATAACAACCCTGTGAGGTAGGGTGGCCTAAGAGAAAGTGACTGGCCCAAGATCACCCAGTGAGCTTCAGGACTGAGGATTTGAACCCTGGTCTCCCAGGTCCTAGTCAACAGTTTAACCACCACACCACATTTGGGTTGCGTGCTTGTTTCTGAACATTCCTTAGCCGGAGCAGCCATCTGCTGGCCTCACCTCAGCTATTGCCGTGCTTGAATGGCCCATGGTCAAGAGCAAACACTTTGGGCCAGGTTTCCTGACTGACCCTGGGGTCTGAGGCCATAATATGTTCATGCAGGAGATTTATCTTCCTAAACAGGCTGAGCAAATATACCCTGCCCGCTCTCCCCTTCTGTCAAACAACCAGTTATTTGCACATGCAAAAATCCATCCTATAAACCGGGGGTCACCAGTGCTGCACTTGCAGGTGCGCCTGTGCCTATATAGACCTCATCTGGTGCCCACGGGACCCACAACCCCACCCCTTTCCCCACTGAAATTTATGCTCAAAAGAAGATTTCTTTTGTAGCTAACAGAACACTTTTTTCAAGCACTTCCCCGCTAGCTGCGGCCTACTTTGAAATTGCCCCAGCCTGCTGCAATTATGGTAGGCTTTAAAGAAACCCCTTCTGTTTACTCCAGTAGAAGACTATTCAGCTGCTTGCTGTCCAATACTTACACACACACACACACACACACACACACACACACACACGGTTTTGCACAAGACTCATGTTAGCCTTTCCAGTGCCCAACAAATAAAACTACCGTATTTTTCGCTCCATAAGACGCACCAGACCACAAGACGCACCTAGTTTTTGGAGGAGGAAAACAAGGGGGGAAAAAATCTGAATCTCAGAAGCCAGAACAGCAAGAGGGATCGTTGCTCCAGTGAAAGCAGCAATCCCTCTTGCTGTTCTGGCTTCTGGGATAGCTGCACAGCCTGCATTCACTCCATAAGACGCACACACATTTCCCCTTACTTTTTAGGAGGGAAAAAGTGAGTCTTATAGAGCAAAAAATAAGGTATACTGCTGCCATACTTCCTGTGGCAGATAATATACATGGGTGACTGTTGGAATCAAGGAAGTTTAGGAGGGAGGATTGATGAGGCAGGAGGATAAAAAACAAATAAATTTGCTGTTTATTCTTCAGAACAACTCATACTTTAAATAGGTGCCTCCTACTCCACTCCATCAGCTAAATCTGTACTGTGAAAATATTATTTATACGTTTGTGGTTCTGTGTCTGTCTCTGTGATTTGTTTTGCTTTGGTTTTGGTAATAATTTTTTATTATCTGTATACAGTGGTACCTCTGGTTAAGAACTTAATTCATTCTGGAGGTCCGTTCTTAACCTGCAACTGTTCTTAACCTGAGGTACCACTTTAGCTAATGGGGTCTCCCACTGCCGCCGCACAATTTTTGTTTTCATCCTGAAGCAAAGTTCTTAACCCGAGGTACTATTTCTGGGTTAGCGGAGTCTGTAACCTGAGCGTCTATAACCCGAGGTACCACTGTATTTAATTCCAGATCTAATCTATATGCATATAAAGTTGCTAGAGTGGCCATTTACACATTACCAAAGAAGAGGAGATTCGTCAGCACAAAAAATGAAGACACCAACAAGTGTAAAATTTGCAAATGGACAGGTGACCTCCATCCCTGCTTAGTCTGCCGTCCAGGTGCTGAAACTGTTGATGGGACAATTTAAAGCCCTTTGCAAGTCTCCCTTCTGATGGACCTCTATCTATGCAGCAGACAGTCCTTCAAATTGACCATCTTCTGATCGCTCTTCAAGATAGAGGATTGACCTTTGCAGATTAGGGCTCCAGTCCTGCTAAAAGTTAAGTACCAAGCAATGCTCCTGTTCTTGTGTAAAATTAGAACTTACTTGGGAGAAAAGACAGCTTCTCCCACTAATATATGAAGTCTACATGTAAAAATCACATCCTATATATCTGCATCTATACAATGCACACACACACACCTTTCAAAAATAAAGTCTAAACATTCTTTTGCCACTCTGCAATGTCTTAAAAGAGCAAAAAGGTGTGGCCGGCCAAATGACCTCAGCGAGCCAACTCTCACCCTAGGGTCATTTTGCTGTCTCTATCAGATTTATCTGCCAGATATAAATTATCATCATCATTGCACCAGGCATTGAGTGCAGCTGTGTGGTAACTGCAGTAAAAGCATTGACTGTAGGGGCTCATATTTCTGTTTCGTCCAAAGCAAGCAAATCCATGAGCACCACCTACACTTAAGGACCCACTAAAGTCAATACAGTGGTACCTCGGGTTACATATGCTTCAGGTTACATACGCTTCAGGTTACACACTCCGCTAACCCAGAAATAGTGCTTCAGGTTAAGAACTTTGCTTCAGGATAAGAACAGAAATCGTGCTCTGGTGGCGCAGCGGCAGCAGGAGGCCCCATTAGCTAAAGTGGTACTTCAGGTTAAGAACAGTTTCAGGTTAAGTACGGATCTCCGGAACGAATTAAGTACTTAACCCGAGGTACCACTGTAGACATGTTAAGTCATGCCAATGGTTCTACAGTGAGTAGGACTTAGCTGACTACAATCCTTACATTGTGTGTGTGTGTGTGTGTGTGTGTGTGTGCGTGCGTGTGTAAGAGCGATAAATTTTATAAGCATATATATGTACATAAAACCTGTGCAACTGTTGATGGAATAATGTAGGGGCAGTATAAAACTAGGGAGCTGTACTCTGCGGTAGCCACTGAAACTCTGTTACTATGGAAACGCAGTTGCCAGGGAGAAGAGGGACCTTGTGCCCTCGGATTTGCTTCAAACAGCAGACAAAATCTGTGGTCCTCCTAATGGCTTCACAGGTCCCATGTCAGCACACTTTTAATTTGACTCATTACTGGCCCAGTTTGAACAGGCATATCTCAGCTCAGAGAAGATGAATGCAGCCACTAAAAGGTGCGCACACCAAGATTTCTTCCTACCCATCTCTGAAATAAAGACCCTATTTATCCTGGTCTGTCATTTTGTGACCTGTCCTTCCCCCAACCCCAAGCCTGCCTTGTCCCCTGCATCACCAAATCAAGACTGTAAGATCTTTGGAGCAGGGATTTTTGACTGAATGTTCTTGCATTTTGCCTGGACATGAGCCTTTTCACTCTCTTGTAACATAAGGCCAGGCCCAAGCTAAATGGACTGTGTTCGTCTTGAGCTGACTGACTACGTTTGTGTTGAGCTGATTCTCTTTCAATACTGAAGGGCAGGAGAACAAAGAAAATAAAGAGTCTTCTGTCTCTCCCAGAACCTGAAGCCTCAATTCCTTCTCATAAACGTCAGCCAATACCATGTCTACTGTAATATACCAACTTCCTTGGACATATTTATTGCCTGAAACAATTTAACACCTTTCTCCAAAGAAACCAAACATATTGGGTGGGTCTCTGGCTCTACCCAGGAAGTTAAACATCAGAGCTCAAACAAATGCTTTTCAAGCTCAAACAAGGAGCAGTTTTCAAATTCAGATTCAGATGTGGGTTTTTGTTTCTTGCTGAATACTTGTATTCAGATCAAAAACCTTTGAGGACTTTCTCTTGCTTACAGACACCCCAAATTCACCCAGGGTCAAGCTACTCTCTCACGGAGGACACAGCAGCCACCCCCAGAGATTGTGAGATGAAATCCCAGCTCCTTAGAAAACTTGGAGGAGATACTTAACCTTGTGCCCTCAATATAGCCTTGCTTTGGATCACCATAGTTCACATGGGCCAATTTTACAACATAAAAAAAAAAAAATCCTTAGTATCCATAGGACCAGGAATAATAATAGTCCATCACAAGTTCTCCTTAGTAATTATTCATGGTCAAAGCAGATCTCCAAGGAAGGGGACAGATACTACAGTTTTATGAATGAGGAACTTCCTCAAGGTTACACAGAGAGTTCATGGATGAAAAAGGATTTGAACTCAGCAAGTCTCCCTACTTCAAAGTCAATACTCAGTTTGTTGCACGAGTTGGACAAGAAAGAACATAAAAAGCACGCCATGATCCCAAACACACTTGTTTGGAAACAAGTGTTTTCCCCATGACATAGAGATACCATTTCCATGGTGCCACTATTGAGTACCAACACACTGGGACTTTCAGAAATAACATGCACCAGGATGTAGTTCTTTGAAAGGCCACCACAGGATGATAATTTTAATGCATCTGGTGCCATAAACACTTCCTATCCCTGGAACTGCCTTCCGAAACACCTCTGTGCCTCTCTCTCCTACTTCAAAAAACCCAACTCCAAACCCACAATTTTGGTGTAACCTTTGGCACAACCAAGTAGCCACTTGTTGAAACACACCACTTGAATGAAGCTCACAGACCACTGGTGGTCCATGGACCACAGTTTCTGAATCACCTGGATCAGCCCATCTGCTGGCAATCTAAATGGAGTCATATCACAAGTCAGAACATTCCATCCAAGGAGATCTGGGTTCCAGCTTCATTGCTATGTTTAAAGCTGCTCTTGGCTGTGGGTTAACCGGCTTAGACAGATGAAGAAAGGTGGTAGCCAGGTACCAGAGGGGAGCCTCAGGAACAGTTAGCAGCTGCCAGACCTTTTCTCAGTCAACTGGAATGAAAGACTCAAAGGTTGCTTAATACCCTAAGAACTGTACCATCATCCTTGAATGTCATAGAAGCAGCAACCTGTCTACACCAAAGACAAACAGTGCAATCCTGTAGGTGTTTACTCACAAGTAAGTTGCATGGTGTTGTAAATTGCTTCAGGACTTTTTGTTGTGGGAAGAGAGTTACAAAGTTAATTAACCAATAAATATAAACGGTGTTCAGTGGGGCTTATTTCCAGGGAAGGGGCACTGCTCTCAGTAGGTGTCTGAAGGACTTGAGATACATGTCACATTTGTGGCATTGTCACAAATCTATATAAAAATTGCACGTGGTTGCAGGTAGTTTGGATCTTACCAGAATTGCACTTTGCAAGTGCATCCAAACTGCAGAAAAATATTAAAGGGGAGGGAAGCAGGCAGATTTGGGACTTGAAACAAAAGATTGTGGCTTTGTTTCCATGTAAGTGCGCATAGTGTTGCAGTCTTAGACTGACTACTCCATCTCCCCAGAAATCTTGGTGAGTCAGGAAGAGGAAGAGGGATGACTATGGGTATCAATTAGAGAACTATCAAGTACCTGCACAAAACTACAATTCTTACCATCCTCTGGGAAAGCTGTTGCAGTTAAACTGGTATACATTTGGAATTCAACAAAGAGTTTCAAAGGGTGGGCCAAGAAGACCCATCTGAAGATCGCTGGACACCCCGGACTCTCAGAAAACAGCACCAGAAGGCAGGATGTGGGCATAAGTTGCCCTCACAGCTTTCTCTCCAAAGGAAAAAGTAGAACTGAGTGCTTCTGCCATACTTTCCAGACATGAGACATCATGGTAGATAATGAGTACAAGCCTTCCTACCCCAGGGGTAGCCAAGATGGCACCCTCTAATGTTGAACCCTGACTCCCATCAGCACCAGCCAGCATGGTCCATGGTCAGGGATGATGGGAGGTGGAGTCCAACAACATCTGAAGGGTGTCCTACCCCACCTCAACATCAGGTGCAGTGTCCGTGGAGGATGCGCAGGGCCTCACTGAGTGAGAAGGAATGTGCTCAGATGCACTAGGGAAAGATTCCCAGATACATCTTGCCAAGGGTTCCCCATATGACCATTCGGTCCAGTATCTAAAATTACCTCACGGTCCCACCCTCCAACATCAAGAGCTTTTGCAAAATAAGCTGCGTGAGCTGGCTGAAGTCAAATGCCACGCTGGGTTTCAACGGAGCCAGGATGTTGAAACCCATCTTCCCTCTCTGTCTTTCAAGTTCCCTCTTCCTTCCTGAGTGGGCTATTTCCAGAGCAAATTTCCTCCTAAAAGCAGGCTGGGTCGGGGCAGCCAGTGGCTCAGCTCCCTCTGTGGCTAGCCGGCTGAGCAATTACATTTCGAAATCAACCCTTGGAACCTTTCCTAATGCCTTTTCTCAGGAAGGGGTAAAATAGGAAAAACAAAACAAAACAGATTGGTATTGATCGGCTAACAGTTTTATCTCCCCGGCTTGGGAGTGGAGGATGGGGAAGGAACTGAACAGAAATCTTCGAAGAGGGGGGCATGCCAAAGAAGAGGCAAGGACGCCCTTTGCGAGGAAGCAAAAAGAAAAGTTCCTGACACCTTCAGACAACCTCCCTCCCCACCCCACCCCCGCCAGCCCCCACCCTGTTCCCCCCAAAGTCCCAGCTTCTTCAGCCTAGGCTTTATTTGCACACTCAGAGGGGCCTGATGAATAGGTCCAGTTGTGTAGCAACTCAGTAAACATGCCAGCAAGCTGGCGGAGGTGTGAAAATCTGCTTCTTTGAGCAGGCCCTTATTTGGGTTCTCTAATTAAAATCCAATAAAAGGCCAGCATTGTCATTCTGATCTGTGCAATAAAAGGGAGGCACTCTCAGAAGAGAGGACACTTCCAACACTCCACCCTGCCGCCCCCTCGGGCCCCCTATTTGTTCAGGTGTGGGGGGGCCCTCTATGCCAATTCACACACGCATACTTTTGCAAAAAGAGGACCCTATACAACCCTGCCGCCCCCTCCCCACCAAAGGCCTTCCAAGAGCTATTTGCACAGACCAAGACACTTTTCCAAAACACTCAAGATGTGTATTTGAAATTGAAATGGAGGCGCTTGCTCTCAGTCTCTCCCCCCCCCACCCGCACCGGTCCCCACGATCCGTCTTGTCTCTTATACGGTGCCTTTCCCCTCTTGACAGTCATTCAGGCCTGGGGGTGGGGGGGAGCAGCTCGCCTCTTTTGCATTCCAATCTCCGGGATCATACTTTTTGCAAACAGAGATGGCAGCTCAGAGAACCTCCCCTGCCTGGACCGCTTTGGTTTTTTAATCTCCTCATCGCATTCTCAGTCATGAAACCAGCACTCGGCCATTGGAAACCAGCTGGAGCAGACGGGATTCAAGCCAGCGCTGGGGAAATCCACGTTGTACAGTCACACGACCTCGTGTGACATGCCCTCCAAGTGACTCCCCTCCCTTCCCAAATCCTGAGCGTGCCCTGAATCTCAATGCCCAGATTGAGCCTGATGGGGCCATTTGCTTCTGATGGAATTGAAGATGGAACTGGATGGTGCTGAAGATGAGTATGGGCACCCAGCTTAGGCTTTACCAACATGGCACCCTCCATGCTACAAACCGGGGCTGATGGGAGTTGTAGTTCAACAATCTTTGGAGGGCACCCAGTTGGCAAAGGCTGCTTTGGAGTCCAGCACTTGAAATGGTTGTTGAAAGATCTATCAAGGGTGAATTCTTCCCTGATGTGAAAGCCCTATAAAACCATTTATTATTGTAGTATTGTTCCTTTTGTGTTGACCTTGTGGGTGGTAGCTCAGCTAAGAGATAATTCACTCCAGAAGGCAGGTGAGATTGAAAACTTGGATTAGAGCTGATTTGACTCCTCTGGCAGAAACCAAACTTTAAAAAGAAATATTGCTTAAGTGGGGGTTTAGAACTGGACCTAGGAGGCATGGGCGTAGCCAAAAGGGGGGTGGGGGCAGCTGCCCCCCCTAAATCAGGTAAATCAATAAAAATACTTAACTGACTGAGGTTCTTCCCCCCCAACACACACACACATAAATCCTGGCTATGTGCATGCTGGGAGGCAAGCTGCAGCAAGATTTGTTGATCAGACCTAATAAGTTCTCCATATCCCATCTGCCCCTGATCCCCTTTCCTATTTCAGGTCTCACCATGTAACAATTTGGGCATCAAAACTATGGTTTCCTAATTCCATTTAACAACATGAAATTCTAGAAGTAAGGGGTTTTTTTTGGGGGGGGTGAGAGTAAAAGTAGTAACTTTGGCACCTTGATATAAAATGGTAGTGCCTTAAGATTAAATGAGCAAGACTTCAAATCTAAGTTTCATTTAAAAAGTAATGCTGAAGGACAAATTTCAGTGAGAACCTGGAAATGTTTGAGAGATCCATAGAAATTCTGAGATCAATGGGAATTTTTAGTTCCAAACTTGGACAAGATTTTGTTGCAGTTCCCCCAGTTGCCTAATTTTAATATTATCATTATCTTGTGATCCACCTTTGAACAATTATAAGGTGGAAATGATGTATTTACATTTGTATATAAGCAGACTACAAATAAATATTTATAATCTAAAACTATTTGGGTTCCTTTACTTAGAAATGAACAACTTATTTAATACTTATTTTGTGTCCATGGTGTTCTAGACTACAGCGGAGATCAAATGCTATGAAAACCTGCCAGTTCCCTATCAGAGGTCCTGTGCTTCTAGTAACTGAAGGACAGGACAATTTTTCAAAAGGTGCTAATTTTCTCAAAACAGAGCTGTAACAACGGGCAAAGCTATATGTGCTGAGTTTCCCCCGTGTCATTGGAGCTAGTGAATGTGCAAAAGTGAGACAAAAGGAACTGGCAAGTACTATTACATCATAAGAATAACACTATTATACCATTCCACATTATTGCACTGCAATTGTCCTTCACCTCGGAAAGAGTCTTGGGGCAAGGCCCTTTTAACCCTCACGCCATCTAGATTCTATGGCTTGCCTCCAGCTACACTCTGCTCAAAGTAGACCAACTGAAATTCATGGTTTGTAATCAAACTAGGTTCTACTCAGAGTGGATTCTAATGGATAAACCTAAGTTAGACAAGTCCGTGCACTTCAGTGGGTCTACTCTAAGTAGAACTTAGTTGGAATCAACTCAGTAGTCCATTTTGTTCATTAATTCAGCCTTTGCCCACCTGGTGCCCTCCAAATGTTGTTGGACTACAACTCCCATCAGCCCTAGCCAGTACACTGGCTGGAGCTGATGGGAGTTGTAGTCCAGCAACATCTGGACATCATTGCATTGGCAAAATCTTCCTTAATCTACAAACTACAGTACAGGTCTGTCTGTCTGTCTATCTATCATCTATCTATCTATCTATCTCCTGAACTATTTTTGTACGTATATCTTATAAGGACAAACATAGATGGTTCTAGGCTGCCACCACAAGATGTTCCACGCTCACTATGGGGATCATTAAAAGTATGTGAAACAGAAATTGCCACAGCCCATTATTCTTCCTATCTGCAATGTCCTAGACTTCTTGATGCTGTTATGGACCAATCTAGCTGTTATTAACTCTGGGTCCAGATTTCAACCATTTCCATGCCCTCTTCAGTGATTGAGTAAGGCTGCAATCCTAACCATGCCTTCCCAGAGGTTTATCCTGTCCAATCTAATTGGGTTGACTTGCAGGTAAGTAGGGCCAGGCGGCAGCCTAAATCTCAAACACCTTTAGATGTAAATGGTACCTATATATAAACTTGACATTGTCCAACATAAACCACCAAGTCCTTTGGGGATTTCCAGTGATCCTGCAGCACCCAACATGCACCACAATAATGGTTAAACTATCCTGTATGAGTGTGTGTGTGTGTGTGTGTGTGTGTGTAGGGACTTAAGTTCCTGTTTTGGAAGCCAGGTTTTGGGGGATGGGAAAGTCTACACAATACAAATGTGTAAAGATAGATAATTTGCAAGAGCTACAGGGTGGAAATCCAGTGCCTTTTTGAAGGGAAATGAATAATTTGGGTCAGTTGTTAATTATAGTAATAATCATTAACTGGGAGAGGGCTATCAGTGGCTACTAGCCACAGAGGCTACACTCTGCCACCATAGATGGAAGCAGCAATGCTTTTGAATAACAGTTACTGGAAACCACAGGAAGGGAGAGTGGCTCCTGTGCTCAGAAGCTACTTGCAGGTTTCTTATTGGCATCTGGTTGGGCACTGTGAGAATAGGATGCTGGACTGGATGGGACCATGGCCTGATCCAGCAGGCTCTTCTTATGTTCTTAAATCCAGCTGGATTCTGAAAGTTATAGATGAGTACCCCTGAGCATTCCCTGTGTAGGAAACTTAACCCTCCCTCCTGCCACTGCCTCTTTGTTTAAGTTGTTTATTTATTTATTTTTGGCGTGGCAAAAAAACAAGGAATATTTAGGCGCGTCCTCTGCCCGGGGAGGGCAACCAGTGACTCTCAAAATGTCATTGGACTACAATGCCCATCGTCCTTGACCATTGGCCTGGCTGGCTGAAGCAGACAGAGCTGAACAGCGTCTAGAAGGCTGCAGTTTCCTCATCCCTGTCTTATGCACATATTCTTACGCATACATGAAAATACGCACACCTTTTCATCTTCTTCCCGTAAACTAGCCTCGTAAGGCTCAGGTGCTTTGTTTTCACTGCTTAATTAAATAAGCTGATGCTGTTCAAGGCTTTTTAAATGTTACCTCTCATAGCCTGAAGCCAAAGAAATGTGGGATATGCTGTCTGCACATGAGCAGGGACCCTCTGCTAATTGTTATTTAAACAGGGGCAGTGAATTTCCTACTCATTTCATGGTAGGGTTGGGGGCAGAGATGGAACTCTGTGTGTGAGGGTGTGGAAGGGGAGAAGTGGGAGAGCATATATTTAGGGATAGGAACTCTTTTCATTAGACATTAGAGCAGGCATCCCCAAACTCGGCCCTCCAGCTGTTTTGGGACTACAACTCCCATCATCCCTAGCTAACAGGACCAGCGGTCAGGGATGATGGGAATTGTAGTCCCAAAACAGCTGGAGGGACGAGTTTGGGGATGCCTGCATTAGAGGCTAGTTAGAAGAAACCCGAGCTGTTTCCATCCTCTTCTCAATGAAATCATCTCCATTGACTTAAATGGGTGGCTTCTCCCCGCCCTCCTCCCAAACACGGGCGCGCCGTTAACTCTTGTTTCTTATGTCAATCGATATATTTAGAGCAAGTTCATTATTTTTCTTTCGCGAATGCGTGTTTCTTGGCACGTTTAAAGTGGTGGTGGGTTTTTTTGTTTTTTTGCCCCAGCTGAAAGCTGCCATTGAACTACTGTTTAAACTCCAGGCAACAAACAAACGAGAGGAGGTGGCAAAACAAGCGGCCTGACTCCTCCGAAATAATTCACCGTTAACTGTTTTGCTAAAAAGCGACAATTTATGCAGATAGCTTGAGGGGGAGGGGGCCGGCCACATGCGTGCATTTCTCCGCCGGACCAGCAGGTGGCGCTGCAAGCACGGGGGATTCCCAGTACCGCCAGGTGGATTGTAAGAACGAAGCTGAAGGGGTGTGTGGAGGGTGTGTGTGTGTGTGTGGCCCCAACACCCTGTAGGTTTGGGCTCATCTAAACGGTGGCCATTTGTGATCCAGATTAAAAGAATCTGCTTCATGTCAATGTGCCGATTTACAATCCGGATTTGAGAAAACAACTTTTTTTTCATCGGAACTAGGGTGGTTTTATGGCAGATGACAGAGAAGCAGGAACAAGAAGAATAATGAGGAAGAGGTTTACTAATTAACCTATTTTAGGATGAATATAGGGCGAGGCGTGGTGGGAAAGCATTTGAAATCCAGTCGACACAGGACTTGGCCTCTTCCAGCTCGTTGCGAAAGAAAACGGGGTCTTGGCACACCCTGTCTGTCAGAAAACAGACCTGGCCCTATGTAAGAGCAACTGTGCCGGGTAAATTAGTTTGTGGGTCGCACTGCCTGTTGGAGAGTCAAACACTTGAGAATTCTTACTAGACTCTTTTTCTTCTTCCCAGAAGAGCCACAAAGGGGATGCGCCCCAACCCCCCATCCCCAAATCCCAGTGCCAAAGTTGCATTTGCTCCGGAGTATTTGGAAAACCTGGCTTGCCTGCAAGACTGAAGGATGAGCAGCAAACGACTGAGCTGTCCCTGCCTGAGAGTTGTTTGCATTTGAAGCGACGGATGGGCTTGAGTTGGGGGTGCCAGCTGCTTACAATCCCAAGGAACTAACTAGGTCAGGCCTGAAAGGGCTGAGCCAGTTCTAAGACAGTCTGAAGGAGCTGGAATTGGATTGTCAAGCCTCTAATCTTACTACAGGTGCAGCAATGCACTACTACTCCAGTTACATTTACTCCAGATAAATTGAACGCTAGGCCAGCTCAACTCGCTGATGCTCACCAGGGAGTTAAAAGTGTGCTGTAAAGTAGAGGTAAAGGGACTCCTGACCATTAGGTCCAGTCGTGGCCGACTCTGGGGTTGCGGCGCTCATCACGCTTTATTGGCTGAGGGAGCCGGCTTACAGCTTCCGGGTCATGTGGCCAGCATGACTGAGCCACTTCTGGCAAACCAGAGCAGCACACGGAAACGCTGTTTACCTTCCCGCCGGAGTGGTACCTATTGATCTACTTGCACTTTGATGTGCTTTCGAACTGCTAGGTTGGCAGGAGCAGGGACCGGACAACGGGAGCTCACCCTGTTGCAGGGATTCGAACCGCCGACCTTCTGATCGGCAAGTCCTAGGCTCTGTGGTTTAACCCACAGTGCCACCCGCATCCCAGGGAGTTAAAAGTGTGCTGAGGAGTGAGTTAAACTGCATCAATGGCGACCCATGTTGTAGCCACGCTGAGTTGGAAGCCTGCGCCCTTCGAAACCAGCCTCTCTCACTCACTGCACCTAAATCCATCTTGCAACTTTGGCTCGCAGCCTCAAGTGCATTTGCCAGTGATTCAGCAGAGAAGGAATCCTGACTGCTAGGGGCAAGCCTGGCCTATGACCAGTGCGCTTTGACTCTTCCTCGGGATAGGGTAGGGTGCGTGGGATCTAATCTCCTTCCTTCTAGTGAGAACCCAGCATCTCCCTGTCTAAACACAGTCCTGGAAAGTAAAATGCTGTTGCTTGCAAACAAGACTGCTGCGCAGATTCTGTACTCAGGAGTTGGAAGTAGAAAAACAAAGGGCTTAACTGGCTTGGGGAGAGAGGTTTTCAAGGAGCTCTCTGTATTCAGATTCCTAGACAGTTTTCCTTGGAAGTAAGTCTCACTGACTTAAATGGAGCGGGCTTCAAGTGGGCAGCAAGACTGCAGCCTTTAGATCTGGCAGGCAAGTCTGGGATAGCCTTTTCTCTGGTAGTTTCCAGAAGAGGGTGGGAGCCACATCTCAGTGGATGGAGTCTGGGGCAAGGTCTTCCCATGGCAATGAAGGACAGATCCGTCTGTGAGAGGTGGATTCTCCCTTACATTATGGGTTCAATGGATATTCAATGCAGACTTCACATTGGAGTTTTGTCCATTAGGGCAATTGGGGCCCTGCCCCACCAAGCTCAGCCTTGATTCCTCCCGGCCCATCTGCTTGCCTTCTTACACCCAGCCCAGCAGGTGACACTGCCTGGACCTCAGCCTCAGCATTGGGCTTGTACAATTCAGCAGAGAGGACAGTGGAGACCAAAACCAGTCAGCTCTCCTTTCATTGGCTCTGGCTCCCAACTTCGGTTGGGCTCCCTGCCTTCTGCCCTACCATTTCCACAGGACAACAGCCGCCACCACTTCTCCATAAGCCTGGTTGGGGAACCTGTGGGCCTCCAGCTGTTGCTGGACTACAGCATCTCTAACCATTGGCTATGCTGGCTAGGCCTGAAGGGAACTGGGGTCCAATGAGGTTTGGAGAGCCACAGATTCCCCAGTCCTGCCCTAAGCACCATTTGTTCTCCACACAAGGCACAATGACGTCAAGTTGATGGACACCAGCAACCAAGGATTTGGCAGATTTGTGGAGAATGGGCCTGCCAGTGGCTTGGCAGACCAGCCATGCTAGCTAAGCAGAAACCTCTACACGTAAAGGCAGCCTACCTGTGGATTGCTGACTCTGGGCTAGCTCAACACCTTCACACCCACTTTGTGAGTTTCTCAGAGGCATTTGTCTTGCCACTATTTGTGACAGTATGCTGGGTTAAGATACGCCTGTTGTGTTGCCCATGAAATCACACATCACAACAAAGCTCTTTGTCTTTTAAGATGCTATAGCTCCACTGGTGCTTCTTAAATTATCTGGCCAATTGCCAGGGGTTGTTCCACCTCTCCATTCCTTGCTTCTCCCCCTAATACAGAGTAAGCAGTATTGGGAATACTAATCCTAAATAATTATAGTTGTCGCAACTGTCTATAGCAGGACTAATTGTTGGCTGTGAGATCCAGTGACCAGTCCTTTTCAATACTTCAACTAGCATGTCCCTGGCACAAAGTGAATGTCAAGTACTACTAATACTAGGATTTGCTTACTACTAGCAGCAACAGTTACAACAAGCTGTTATGATCGAAGACCAATCCCTTCTGCGTGATCTATACAGTACCTGCTATGTTGTTTGGAATAAAGAAACAGATGTGAACTACTACTGTACTTACTACCTGCTTACTACTAGGAGTCGGATCTTAGCACTGCCCCTTCTCTTTCTATACAGGCCAAGCTATGTGTGTGGTTGGCATCCGTCTGTCTATAGAGAGACAATGGAGTGCGTTTGGGGGGGCGCGGTTTGAAGTCGAACCACTGCCTTAGCGGCACTGAAGTGGGATGCAAGCCTGGGCAGTGTGTCTGGAGGTCCTGGGCTGCCCGGGCGACAAGCCTTGGACGTCGCTGATGCGTCCAAAGGAAAGCAGAGCAAGATTTTTGGCACCAGCTTGGCTGCAGGAGTTACCCGAAGGAAGCGCACAAGGCGCCATCCAAACGTCTTGGGGACCAAGCTATGATTATTGTGAAATGCTGCTAAGAGGTTAATAACACAGCAACATCTATATTTATTGGGAGGGGGTGTTAAGGGTCGGTTCCCGAGTCGAATGAGCCGCCCCCCAGCCCCTTCTTACCGGCCTTGACCGAGCAGTGGATGTGCGCCTTGGACTCGTAGTACACCCAGTCGAAGCCGGCCTCGACGGCCAGGCGCGCCAGCATGCCATACTTGCTGCGGTCCCGATCCGAGGTGGTGATGTCCACGGCGCGGCCCTCGTAGTGCAGCGACTCCTCCGAGTGGTGGCCGTCCTCGTCCCAGCCCTCGGTCACGCGCAGCTTCACGCCAGGCCACTGGTTCATCACCGAGATCGCCAAGGCGTTCAGCTTATCCTTGCAGCGCTGCAGGGGGGGGGGGTCGAGGGGGGGTCAAGCAGAGCGCAGGAGTATCGCGAGGGGAGGAAAGGAAGGCCAGCCGCTCCCTGCTTCCCCACTCCCGCCATCCCAGGGTGGTAATAGCAGCAGCAGCAGCAGCAGCAGCAGCGACCCATCCACACCTCCCTTCCGCACGCATCTTTCTGGAGACGCGCGAAGGCTGCAAAGGGTTAAACAGCGCTCCGGTACCCGAATCATATCGCTTCCCTACTCCTCGCATCAGGAATGGGGAACCTGTGGGCCCCCCAGGAGCTGCTGGGCCCCCTATTCCCCGCCACTGGCCATTCTGGCTGGGGGTGATGGGAGCTGGAGCCCTGCAACAACATGGTGGAGATTCTCCATCCTTCAACCCTAAACCAGATCGGTGCACTCATTGATATCGATCTGGTGCGCTTCTGTTAAGGCCAGGATCCGGAAGGGATGTCAGCTAGGATAGCTCCTCTTCCTCTTGCACCCCTAAATGGGCTCCAATCCCTCCCCACCCCACAGCAGTCTCGCTGCTGTTGGGCGCTGGTGCGCTCTCCCACTCTGCGTGGACCCCGGATTTCCACGCAGAGTCAAGAGGAAGACTCAGACTGCAAAGGCATCCATGGCAACCATCCCAGCGGCTACCCGTGTCTCCCGGCCTGTGCCCCAACTGGCTAAGCCCACCCCCCTCCCACGCCAAGGATATTGACTCACGCACGCACATACACACACCTTTACTAGACCCATACCCACGTTGCTTATTTCTAGGGAGCGTTTGAGAGCAGAGCGAATGGAATATGAGAACATCTTAGAAGGCAGGGCGGGGAGAAAGGTGCGATCCACAGATGTTTTGTGGGTGGTATCCTCCAGTGACCGAAGCATTCCATCGCAAACATTTTTTTAGAAAATCTCTTCCGGAAGTGGAGGTAAGAAAGAACCGTGTTGATTTCGAAACCGGGAAGGGGGGGATCGCGGTCTTAGGACCGTGGCCTTAAAGCTTCCCATCACCTCTCCGAAAACCAACAAGACTTATTTACTTCTTAAGCCATCTCCTCTGCCCACTCACTACGGAGGAAAAACCCGTGCGCACCCATGATTTCATCCTGAACGTTTCTGCCTGTTTAGGATACATCGCAAGTCGGTTTTGCGAGCAAAGGCTCCAGTTGGGGCTGGCAAAGAAGCAGGTGGGTAGAAAAGACGGGAGCAGGAACTACCCGGCAGAGACCCACGGCATGAAAAGGAGGCTGTGGATCACGTGGAAACTTCCTTGGGAATAAGTCCTTCAGTAGAACTTGCTCCTGTATAAACGTGGATAGGATCGAGCTGCACGAAACGTGTGTGTGTGTGTGTGTGTGTGAGTTGCGGTCTTAACCCTTAACCCATCACGGAGAACGTACGCATAGGCTCTAATCTCTGCCCCGAGGATCGCTCACAGGCACCCTACGCTGGAATCTCCCAAGAAGAATAATTTTGGATCCCATAATTGGAACGTGGTGATATAGGAAGCAGCTGACACTGAGGGTCCTTGTAGCTCCATACCGTCTACACTGACTGGCAGTGGCTCTCCCAGAATTTCAGCAAGAGGCTCTCCCAGCCCTCCCTGGAGATGCGCGGAATTGAGTATGGAAGCCCCGGCAACGCTTCCCACTCGCGTCCCCGGCCCTTCCAAGCGCCACGGGTGTTCGTTCCTTATGCTTTTAGTGTGTCGCGGGAGGGCAAGACCCCTTTCTCCACACTGGCAGCCGAGCGAAGTTTACCGAGGGACACAATTGCCTTCTGTACCTCCCCGCATCTCATGATCTCGTGTGTTCGATCCAACGGGATCCAGCTGCTCCAACGGGATCTAGAAACTCACGCGCGGACCCGCACGTTTAAAAATGTGCCTTTTAGATAGGAGTCCCAGGACTGAAACAACGAACCTTGGACAACAAGCAGGTGCACCCCAGGGAGAAAGAGGTGGGAGCAGAGGTTGGCTTAAGCTATGCCCCACTGGAAAACGCACCCACAAGGCCAGCCTTACCAACAGTCCCGGTTATCTGATAACCCAGGAGGACACCTCTAAATGCGTGTACTCCGAAACCAGTTAGCTTCGCCTTCTAGGAACCTATTTGCGAGTAAAAGTTGTGATCCTTACATGGCAGTAAGCCTTGCTGGACACAATAGGACATACTTCAGAGTAGACATGCCTACTAGGGTCCTGCCCTTTGTACGCTTAAAACAGCAGCTGCTGGAATCCTCCCAGGTGTCCATGGGACTGGCCATCCCATATCCTAATATTTTTACTCCCAAGCAGAACTGAGGTTAAGATCAGGGTGCTAAGTGGGGAAAGTCCCGTTTATTTCGGTGGGGTTGGCTTTTGAAGCAAACTGACGGAAGGCTAACTTTCTATAAAGTTAAGCTTTCCGATATATCAAAAGCATTGATTCCAAGGTTCAGTCAGAAGCGCACAAATGGCCAAAGGGACTTACCCCTTGCTACGCAGGATTGAGGACTCAGCCCCACATTTTCTGCTCTTGGATCTACTCTGCCTACCACCTTATTCAGAATAAAGTTGCAACCGCAAAGCCTTTGCTAGACTGTGCCACTTCAAGCTGAAGTTCTGTGCAGGTCTGACGGCTTCTTTCTCCAAACAAACCAAAACCTCTCTGTGCACTCAGAAAAAAATAAGACCAGGCCAAACCCATCTTCTTCCTGAAATGCTGTTTCTTATCTGCATGAAGATTATTTCCCTTTTGTGCGGAGGAAATTCAAACATGCAAACCCCCACCTGTAGCCTGAGATTATAAAATCCAAGAGCCGCTGCGCCACTGGATTCTGCTCAGTGTCTATACTGGCCTCCTAACCTAATACAACTGGCAAGTGTCAAGACTGCCGTTTCCTTCCTGCATCTTGCTCAGCAGATATTGCTGAATGTGCTCTCTGGGGCCCATTTGGGTGCTAATGCCTGTGGGTGCTCTTCGGCTGCTTTTAGGGATGGAGAGAGACAGAGAGCCGTAGGTCGTCAGAAGAGCACTGCTTTGAATGCAGAAGGTCCCAGGTTCTGACTGTCCCCAGGTGGGAGGGATTCTTGGCCGAGGTCTTTCTGCGTCATCTACAGCCCTACAACCCCTCAGTTGACTCTCTGCAATCGGCAGCCGGGGAACCTCCTGGCGCTTGCTTTCCCGACCTCACTATAGCTATCGAAGCCCCAAGAAGCTTTGCCACAGGCCTGGATTGGCCAGGGGAGGAGAGATTGCTTGAAGGACAGAGAAAAGTCCAAAGACACATACCAAAACACAGGCCATTCTTTCGATTATATTTTTCCTTTTCCCCCCTCCAGACATGGAAAATGTATAATCTGCCCCCAATTAAATAACAACAATCCGGGCAACCCGCTTTTCTGTGCATTCCGAATTTTAAAAAGACTTTGCCTTTCTTCGGGGAAAAGCACCTCCCCCCTACATTGGAGAGAGCGTCCACTAAGTAGCAAACTTTGCAATAAGTAGCAAAGGACATGAGTGTCCCTTTCAGGTCCTTCAGAAAGGAGGGAGGTGGGGTGTTGTTGGTTTGTTTGTTTGTTTGTTTTTTTGTTTTGGGAGGGGGGCGTTTCTGCTGCTCAGAAGGAGCTTCTCCCGCGTCTGTTCCAGCCTTTCCAAGAGAGAGAGCAGCCAGCCGAGGCCTAGGTTTTCGCTTCCTACGAGCAAAACGCCACCGCTTAGCATTGCCGGGAAGGGCTTTGTATTAACAGTGACATCATCACCGCCGTTATCATAATTGTGGAAGGAGAGGCGAGAAGCTGATCACGCAATGACTAGAAAGTGCCCAGACTTGGTGCAAACTCCTTGCGCAGCTTGGCCCGGGTCGTGGCGCATTCCGCCTCTTTCCTTTCCCTTTGCACCGCGGAAGAAAGAAAGACAGAAAGACAGAAAGGGGAGGTGGGGACCTGAAACTTTGACCATCGCAGGCTAGGCTGAAAGGGGGGGGGCGGGGGCGTAAGGAAAATCTTACACCCTCCGAGCCCAGACACCTGAACTTCCAGGGCAGATTCCATTCTCAACGGGAGGCCTTGGAGGGACGGGGCGCGCGGTGGCCGGCAGGGAGGAAAGGGCAGCTTCGGGGATTCTCTGGCAGCTCCGAGCAGCCTCCTTGCCAAGCGCAGAGAGGAGGGGGAGGGAAAGACCGGCTGAGCCGGGATTGTCAGAGTCAAAAGCCGTGAAGCCTCAGCTATTTATTAATTCATCGGGTCGTGTGCCGCCGATCAAGCCCCGCTCTGCTCAGCCACCGTGAAGCGCAGCAGGACCGCGTCGGTGGGCGCCGTGTGCGTCTGCGCGCGCACGCCAAAGGGGCCTGGCCGAGGGGCTCAACAAGCCGCCCGCCGCCTCCCTCTTTCCCCCCAGCCAGCCGACCCACACTTCGAACAGGCACCTGTCGGCCCCGCCGCAGCGGGATCCTGTGCCTGCCTATCCCCAAGCCAGGCAGCGATCGTTTTACCCGAGAGTAAGCCCCGCTGGCGGTGGCTTCTGAGTAGGCAGGTAGGCATAGGATCGCGCTCCTATGCACCAGTCAATACCTTCATAGCGAGGCTGCGGGGAGCCGTCCTCGCCCCACTCTGTGTGAGATTTACTCTCGAGTAAACAGACAAAGTCCCGGGCTGCGAAAATCTGCAACCCTTGGGAGTAAAGCTGCAATCCTATATATCGCTGCTCAGAAGTAAACCCCACTGAGCTCAGTAGGATTTACCGTACTCCCGGTAAACAGCAGTCCCCGTCCCCTTGAACTCGGTGGCACTGACTTCCAAGTAAATATTCATAGGATCGGGCTGCGAGAACGACCTTCCAGACTAGGTCTGCGTGCCTCTCTTTGGCTCCCGGGAGCTCAGAGTTCCCGGGAGCTATGAAGGGGGCGGCGGTTCCTTAACGGCTCCCCTGGGGTTTATTATTATTATTTCAGACGAATTCCAACTTTATCATAAAAGAGCTGGCACCCTTATCTTGCCTGCAGATCCAGCCAATGGCTGGCCGCGTGTGTGTGTGTGTAGGGCTGGGTGTGGGAGGCGGGGTGGGGAGAGCCCTTCAACCAAGAGCTTCTGTCACCTGTAAACTTAGGAATCACCCGCCAGCTCCGAGCTCTCTCTGTTTGCGCTCTTCTCCCCCTCCCCACTCCCGGAGTTAATATTAACCAGCGGCTAATGCATTCAAGCAACTGCTCTGAAAGTTTAACAATTCCGTCCAGGACGTCAGATCTCTCTCTCTCTCTCTCTCTCTCTCCTCTCCGCCCCGCGCCTCCCCCCCCTTTCTTCCCCCCTAGGTTGAAAGGAGCAGGCGAATGCTCGGCTGAATCTCGGCTGCGCCGGGACGAAGCAGGAGGCAAGGCGTGGGGGAACAGATCTGATGAGGTGACCCACCAGACTGGGATCAATTCATAGTGACATTCTGCATCTCAAAGGCACATCCCGGCCCACGCTTTCTACCCCTCCCTCCCCACAACCTGCAGCGCCGCATCCACACTTGGGGTCGCAGCAGATTCGCTTCCGCGGATGCCCTCGAGGCGGCCTTTGCGCTCCGCCTCGACGGACTTGGCCACCGAGGTCTGCTTATCCGGCCCACCCAAACGGGGATCCCACTCTACTGCTTGGTTCTTGCTCTCTTTTTAACCCGCCCACCCCCCAAAAGTCTCACCCCCACCCTCGAAATCCCCACCCAGCGTCCTTCCAAGTCCATTGGACGAGTGGCATCGCTGAGGCGCCTGGCGGGCGCAGCTCTCCTCACCTTGCCCTTCCTCCCATTGCGCACACACTCCGCACCTCGCATTCCCAGGTGCCCCCTTTGTATACAAGGGAATCAGAGGCACTGCGAAGCGTGTGTGTGTGATGTTGTTTTTCTGTTTCTTTCGTCTGAGGGAAGTTGACAGAAGGTCAGAAGTTCAAACGCTGCTAGCTAATGCAGCAAAGGAGGCCAGCCGAGTAGAAGGAAGGGAAGCTTTGCTCTGCGCTCTGCGCTCAGAGAGAGACCCCAAGGCGCTTGGGAAGAAGGCTGCGGGGCTGGAAGGGGGGGGGGGTCGTGTGTAGAGAAGCAACCTAGAGCCGAGCAACAGAGGCCGGCATCTCCTCCTTGCTGCGCCCCCCCCCCCAATTGCTCATATGCATCTATGCCCTGTTCCCAAGCTCGTCCCATGCTCTCTTGAGAAGGAAGGAACTTGCGATTGCTTTTCTGATTGACTTCGCCTAAGAAGATCTAGACATAACATGTTAGGCTCGTGCTGTGGGGATGCGCGCACAGAGGGAGAGAGGGAGAAGGCGGGAGGGGGGGGCGTCTGTTCCTGGAGCTTCCGCGCCACACAGCAAGTCAGCAGCACCAGAAGACGGCAGCAGCAGCAGCCGCCGCCGCCTCGGCCGCCTTTCAAAAGGATACAAACTGAAATTCTAGCCGTTGCGATCGATACAAGAGGAGTAAGTGGAGCTGAAAATGCGAGATGGGCTGGACTGGCCGCCGCACAGCTACCCCCCAGTTCTTGCGTCTTGGCAGATGAGGAAAGTGTGCGCGTATGGGGAGGTGGAGGCGGGGGTGGGGTGGGAGATGATGGAAGGAGACTGGGAACTGGAGCAGAGGAGGAGGTCGCCCACAATGGCACCCCTCTTCCTCGCCGCTGGCCTTGCCCTCTCCATTTGCGCTTCGCCTTCGTTCTCTCTCGCCTTGCAGGAGGCGGGATCGGGCGCTGAACTCTCCCCAAGCCCCGCGCGCTGGCCTGTCCCTGGTTAAGGGAGGCTCGCGCGCCTCGGCGCGGCGCGCGCGTCAGCACCCTCCTAAGGTGCAGTCAGATTTAAGGTGGTCGGCTGGAGATCGCGGCGGACGCCGCCGCTCTTCCGTTTGGCCCGGATAAATCTCCTAAACGTGCGGAAAATCAGGCCGCGGGAGAAGAATGGGGAGGAGGAAGAGGAGGTGGGGAAGAGGAGCGGAGAGGGCAGAGTTTAGGAAATCCCCCCCACCTCCTCGTGGAGACTCCAGCTGAGCTCTTATTATAGAAACGAAGGTGGGGCTTAAATATATTAATAGCGACTGAGGTGCGGGGAGGAGGGGGGCTACGACTGTTGACCTATATTTGGAAGGAAACCCATTTCTAGGGACTGGATGACATTGCAGGTAGTTGGAAGAACTCCGAAACTAGGAGGCTGGTGCGCGGGGGCGGGGGGGGTTTAGAGTTTATGGCAAATAGCACCACCACCCCTGAGCAAAGAGCAATCATTAGCTATGATTCAGGATGATCAGAAGAATTCTTCACCTAGCAAAAGGTTGATGGTTAATGGATAATAGTTCCAGGATCCAATTTTTAGCCCATATCCAATATTTATGGAATCGGGTGCGTTCAGAATATGTATATATACGTATCTATATATGCATGTAGATAGATAGATAGATAGATAGATAGATAGATAGATGCACCAACCATACATCGGATATTCTCCCTTTCTCTCAAACAAGTGATGCAATGCTGGTTAAGTTACTTGTCCCTCCCCCTCTTGCGGTGGGGGCGGGGACGGGGAAGGAATATAGCTCTGGTGGTGAGCATCCTTAAAGGAAAATCGATAGATTAACGCTCTGTTTGGCACAGTTGCAAAAGATGGTTTTGCAGCACGGCGATAAGTCGAACGCGCATAATAACGGTGATCACGCTGTTATTATTATTATTATTAATTATTATTACTATGATTGCCACTGAACTTCAAGCTAGCCTTTCGGAAGTGAAAGATCCCGACCTTACTAGCAGAAGCTTGCAAGGTGCAATTAGGGAAAGGTGGTTAATTTAAACTGTATGTATCTAAATTTAAAAAATAAAAATAAAATATATGCCCAAGGGAAAGAAGGGGTTTGGCACAGTCGATATGCACTTAGGGGCCCCATTAGCGCCACCCTATTCGTTAGATCCAAGTAGGTCCCTTGGGGGGTGGGGAGGGGGCAGGATGCACTCAGAACCAGCTAACCAACCAACTCCCAGAGAAGGGCATAGCGTGGTTCTCCCTGCAACTATCACACCATTCACACGCGCGCGCTCCCCCTCTCTCCAGCCTCCCTGGTCACAGCCCAGGAGAAGGAATAAATGCACACAGATAGGCAGACAGGTAGAGGCGCCCACCCGCCCACCTTTCTCTTGCAAACTTATGGAGACCCATTGAGAAAACAGAGCTAAGGACGAGGAAAGGGGAGGATGGGAGGAGGATGCCGGGATGCCTTGAAGGAGAGGACGCTTAAACTCAGGGGGTCCCCCCTCCCCACCTCTCCCCGCCCCGCCCCGCATACACGCACACACAAAGCGCGAACGTCTGAACGAGAAGAAGCGGAAGGGTGTATCGTTTTTTTTCTGACCTGTGTCATCAGCCTGTCGGCTCCCGTGTTCTCTTCATCCTTAAAAATAATGTCAGGGTTGTAATTGGGGGTGAGCTCTTTAAAGCGCTCCGAGTTGCGGCTGATCTTGCCTTCGTACCTTCCACTGGCGCCCAGCGTCTTCTCTGCCACGTTGGGAATGAACTGCTTGTAGGCTAAAGGGGTCAGCTTCTTCGGGTGCCGCCTCTTGCCGAAGCCCCTGCCCGGTCCACAAGCCAGCCCGCAGGAGAGCAGCAGAGCGCCCACGAAGACCAGCAGGAGACCAATTCTCCGCAAGAGCAGCATTCCGTCCGTGGAGGAAACGGCCACTTTCCACGCGCGCGCACGCACGCACACACACACGCGCGCACACGGCTCCCTGCCTGGCTGCTGGGTGTGTGTGTGTGTGTGTGTGTGTGTGTCTCCTCTCTGCCTCTTTCGGTCTGTCTATCTGTCTCTCTCCCTCTCCCTCTCCCTCTCTCTCTCTGGAGATCTGCGGTTCTTTCAGAGCCTGCTATCGCCTTTTCGCTGCCTGCTCCTTCGGATACTCTCCCCCGATCCCTAGCCAGACAGGTGCTGGAATGGCAGCTTCGAGGAGGTCGCTTGTGATAACGGAACTCATCGGAGTTGGGATCGTGGCACCGGGAGGCAGAGACCCCCCCAAAAAACGTTCAGGAAAGCAAGAATGAAGGCGGAAGGAAGGGGGAGGGAAAAAAAGGTCTGGATTCTAATGGGAGCTCAGCTACAAACGCTTGTGAGTGGAGCCTGCCTTTAGTTCTATATTATAGCTGCCAGGGCTGAGTTCTGATTGGCCGAGGCGGGAGAAGCTCGCCTTCTGATGTATTAACCCTGAAGAAGGCAAAAAAAAAAAAACCATCAACAACAAAAAAAAATCTTGGAACATCTCTCATTCTCTCGCTCTTCTCCTTGTACCTGAAGGGCTTGGAAATGAAAGGGGGTGGAGACTGAGCTTTCTTGGGATAACATCAATTACATGTTTTCTTTTCTTTTCTTTTTTCTTCTTCCACTCCTCTTAAACTTTTTTTTTTTTTTTTGGCAGAGTGGTAAATTTTTGTTAGGAAGAGTAACAGATGCTGGTGTGGAATATATGGAGCGGAGTGGAAGCGAGACACCTTGCTATCTGCCCATCTAGATAGAAACACAATGGAAAGGACCTTTTGAAATCGCGGGGGGGCGGGGGGAAGAGAACTTAAGGGGGCAACTTCCCAAGAAAGTTAGACTTAGCACCTCCGCCACCTTGGCCTCGAAGACAAGGAGGGGTGGTATTTTTTAAAGGATTTATTTTTACATAATAAGGTTGACCAAAGCTGCTTATGTTGAAATAACTTTGCGGATGAGGTTATGATATATGCAAATAATATAAAATACGGATGGGGGGGGCGGAATCCGAAAGTTTTGAAAATAAGTTTTTGCTTTATCCAAGTTTATTTCTTCCCCCAGTTGCCGTGGGACTCCTCACGCGTCATCAAGTGAACGGCGCGGATGGGGCTAAGTTTAATGTGAAATTAATGGTTGTCTCCCGCTGGCTGGCAACGGTCGCCTTTATCCTGGGCTGCAGAAAGCTCCTGGTCGGACAAAGGTGTTGAGAGACGAGCAAAATCGTGGAGAGATGGGCCTGGAGATAAGAGCAGCTTCAACGGCCTTTGCCGAGTCCCAACCATGAGCAAACAGGTTGGTCGTGCCTGTTGTTCGCTTTGGAGGTTTCCAAAGAAAGCATCCCACAGGAATTCAACAACGTCAACTCACTGAAATAAATAAGGACATTTTTTTCCCCTGAGGAGGGGGGTATAAAAAAAGTTACCACCTATTTATCAAGCTACCCATACAGAACGTCTCCAGACTTTTCACAAGACTCTCGTTACTTGCAAGCCTTGCTTGGGAAAAGGTGAATTATCATAAAATCTCAGACAGACCCCAAGTTTGGAAAGAAGTGGGTCATTCTGCAAAATTATAACAATCTGCAGCAAGCATACGTTTCCCCCTACCTACTCTGGAGTAGTCCCATTGGTGTAACAAGATTGTGTATATTTTAAAGCGCAGATGCCTACAGGAATTGCCACTTGAGCCCCAAGTCCCAGGTTGGTTTTGAACTTCGTTTACCACTGAGAAACGTCATGTCGACTTTTACTTGCAAGTAAAGTTGCTCTAGGGCGGAGCCCCGATCCTTCCCGTACTTCCTTAGAAAGTAAACTCGGCGGGAATCAAGGGACTTACTCCTAAGTAAACCAAACGTATTTACTGGAGTCCGGAGCCCCAGAGTGTAATGACTCTCCTTTATCATTTTACTGCATCAGCTTAACCAGTTTGGGGACCGGCGCTTTCCAGGGCGAACGCTGGGTTGCCAATCGAACCTGTTGCAGCCAGATGCATCACGCTCACCCGAAAATTCAAAAATAGAAGTCAGACACAACCCCCCCGCCGCCTTTACATTAATTTATTTTAATGCGTCATCATTGATTTTCTGTCAACAACCACCCAACTCTCGACGTCTTGCTGTGGTTCCTAGCTAGAATGGACAGCCTTTAAAAGTTTGTGACGTCCCGTCTAACTTTTCAAAGAGAAGCACGAGGGCTGGAAACTGGCTTGAATTTTTTTTTTTTTTTAAAAAATTATAATAATCACACGTCTTATATATGCTCCCTGTGTGTGAAAACAGATCCGAAGCATCTCCGTCTACAGAACCTTATTAGACAAGAAAGACGGGTATGGCCTTTTGATGTGGCTTTTCTTGGAGCTCGTCGATGAAACGGGGCCAGGAGTCAGAAGGAGCAGCTACTCCTGACTGGCGAGGAGGATCAGGGCTATTGCAAAACTTGGATCGCTCCCCCCTCCCGCCCTCTACCCCGCCCTCCTCTTCAACGTACAACGGGGCTCGAGCCATAGGTCTGGGGGCGCGGGAAGGCGCGGAGGTTGCGCGCCCAGCCAAGCGCGTCTCCTGCAGGAACAAGGAAGCGGGGCCCCCATCCCGACCTCGCTCTCCCCCCCCCACCCCGCGGTCGCCTCCTTTTCATTATCAGCTCGCCATATGTACAAACCAGTGACCCAAAGATCACTGCAGGAGAGGAAACGCGCCAAGGAGGAATTAATTACTACGCGCGAGTAATAAAAAGTGGGTGTGGGCGGGGGGGCCGGGGGGAGGGAAGGAGGAAGAAAAGTTGTAACGAGGTAGGAAGTTCAGATCAGCTCCGCTATCAAAGGGGAGATGAAAGAAAACAGAGCTGCTCTTCGCTAGGGCTGGGTCTAGTCAGCTTCACCTAAGCTCTGGGGCTGCAGCTGTTCCACCCTCCTTCTATCCCCCCCCCCATCTCTTAGAAATGATGCAAAGGAAGGTGGAAGAGAGAAGCGCAGACGGAGCCCAAGGTGTCCTTTATGCCAGGACTTTCTCCTGAAAGGGGACATTCCGTGCACACACAAAGAGGGGTGCGTGCCCAGTCATTCTTGAGAGCCACCCAACGAAGGAGCGATTGTGCGTAAATGTCACTTTTAAAAACTGCTTCTATACGGGAACTTTATAGGCAGCGTGCTACTTGAATAAAACTTCCCCATATGCCTCCTTCATGTTGTCCTACCTAGGAGCGGTGGCGTGAAGAACGCTTTTCCTTTTTCAGAGGGGGGGCATCGCAGAAGCGAGGCGTGAAAGTTGAGTTCTGGCCTACACTGCAATGCTGTTGGCTTCAATGACTCCAATATTCCTTGCAGGCTTCTGAAGGATAAACATCTCAAGTCGAGCGGGGGGGGGGGGAGATATTTGGAGTTTTTGAATATTCAGCCTGATTTATGTCTTTGTTCAAGACCATTTCTGTACAGCTTTATGGTACAAGAAAATCCTCTGATAGGTGTACAACGACAAAAAAACCAACAACCTGGAAAATTACCAATATGCAGCAAAACAATCAGAAGAGCAGTAAAAAGGAGGCAAAATGTACAAAAATGACAGGGTGCAGCTGAATGATCAGGGAAGGCCTGGCGGTGGTGGTGGGATTTGCCTTCAAAGGACACCTGAAGCAGGTAATTGCTGATGTTTCCCATAGGGTAGGGAAAAACGTCTGTGCATATGTAATACCCACAGCCATACACACAACGTGTGCGCCTGCCTGTGTCCAAGCAACTCTAACCAATAGATCCTGGGCCTAGATGAACTCTGTGTGAGGATTAATCTCTTAGCCTCTTGAATTAAAAAAAAAAGAAAATCAATGGGAAACCAGTTGCCTTTGAGATCTGAAACTCACGCTATGGTTGGCTCTGTCTTCTGAAAGAGCCCAAGAAAGCTGCCCTCATATCTGTCGAATGAGATGAAAAATATACCATAGAGACCTAGTTGTTCAGATGAACGGCTCCCCACTCCATGACCCAGGATGAGGGACACGTGTCACCACTTAACCTTTCATTGATGTATATTCATATATGCTTATGTATATAGCGAGATAGATAGCGAGATAGATATTTATGTATATAGAGAAGCAGTTAAAGAGATAGATGTTTTGACACCACTTTCTTTGGTCTCGGCGTCTTGAAGGCAGGAAAATCCCCCGTCCCTCACAAGGAGGACTGCCCCTCTCTCTTTATGGGGTCCTTCCTCCATACCTGAGTTCTCCCCCCAACCAAGCAAAGAATATGACCCTCCCTTCCTTTCCCTGCCCACCTGTCTGTTCAGGCTACACATAGTTCTGGACTTGAACCCTTATTAAATTCCCTACCCAGTCAGATTTTTTAATGGAATAATAATGGTTGCTAGCAGCTCAGGTAGCTGTTGCTAACCTGCACTTTCAAAATGTGAATAACAACAAATAGTTATTCCATTAAGGACAGTCAAGATGAAGAAAGGGGGTGGGGGTAGGAGTGGGTGAGCTAGGCGGACCAGTGGTCTCACCCGGTATAAGGCCGACTCCTGTGCTTCTTCACTATGCATATAACCCTGTCCCTCTGAATCTGCATTAGAGACTCATAAAAGTCCACCAGGCTCGCTCTCTTCTCATGCCTTTCCTCTCTGGCATCTGGCTTGCCTGCAGAAGGCCCCGGGTTCAAGGCCTGACACTTCGAGGTAGGGCTGAGAGAAACCGCTGCCTCAAACCCTGGAGAGCCACTGCCTGTCCGTGTGGGCAATACTGAGCTAAATGGACAAATGGTCAGTATACAGCTGCTTCCTCTTTTCCACAGGCAGGCGATAGCTCTTCTCTTTATTTACACCACGCAAGACCTACCGCAACCTTCCTCCCACCCCATGGCAGTAGCACCGAACGTCTCCTTGCCTGTGAAATTTCTAGCATCCCGTAATAGCGGCGCAGATCCTAGCTAGCAAATCTGGAACCTCTTTGTCCCGGTATCCACATCCCCGAGGCTTCTGAAAACCCCTCCGCCCAGACATTTGCATTTATGTTCCCCCGACCTCTGTTTTATTATTCCCCTTTTATTGCAAGGCGCTTTTGCGCTGAATAAAAACGAGTTCTCTCAGAAGTGAGTTGCACTGATTTAAAGTTGCACAGACATCCCAATGTCGTGGTGGGGAACGCAGCATTTTAACCATTTGAGCTTGAAAGGGTCTTTCCGTCTCTCTTCTCTGGTGCAAAGGCTGTTTATCTGGCCTCCCCTTTGTCCGCAGGTAGGGGCGTGCCCTCATTAAAAAGGAAAGTTACTGGTCCTCAGTGTTTCTCCCAGCCAGCCACGCACTCCGCATCTCTACCTTCCTTCCTCTTTCAGAATCCTCCCCACTATCCCCAGCATCGCTTTCATTTCCA